AACACTTGGTTGCACACTTATTGTAAATGTATATGGATACATTTTGTTGCAAAATCAGCAACCACTTTCATGGGCCTGTCAATCAATATGACGATACATTTATTCTTTTCAAGTCTTGTACCCAACAAGTGGGAATGTCTCTTTTATTTTATTTCTCTCGTTTATGTTTTTCTTGGAACGATCTCTCTGCAATCTGTCTCTTTAGAATTCAAAGTATCTACATTCACTATCATTTTGCTTTTTCTTCACTGATCCATCAGCTCCTTCAGCGAAAAATGACACTGTAATTAACATTTCTGTTCTCACTTCCTTGTGCACCTCTCTTCTCATACTGGTTTTTGGTCAGCTACGTGTAGGTGTGTCTTCTACAGTATTAGTTTTCATCTGGGGCCCTGTTGTAATGTGATACTGTATGTTTACACAGCCAGTTTCTAGGAAGTTTCTCCCCAGATTTTTCACAGCATCCTAACCTGATTATTCTATCTATCCAGCTCCGCCAGTTACATTGGGCTAATGTGTTTGTGACTTTGATTTGATTTATTTATTTTCCATATTTTGTGGTCTGCGGTAGTCAGTTTTTTTCCCATTCAACCTCATTGGGAAAAACTACTCATCTACCTCACAAATAGAAACGTTTCTTCTTTGAGTGCTGTGACTATGTGTACATAGAATGTACAATGTACTGTCTTTGACAGAAGTGGAATACATAGGAGCGCAGTGACGAATGTCATGAAAATTGTATATTTCCCGGTGCAGAAGGCATAAGACATAACAATTTCAAAGATGTTCACACACACACACACACACATATAAAAAAACCTGGCATAATATATATTATCAGCATGAATATAAAATAGATGAATTCTCTGCCACCACAGCAAGGATGGATTTTCAATGCCATGTTAGAGGATGGAAACTTTAAATAAAAGCCAATAGGGACACAATTGGAAAGGACCGTTGCTGCTGGAGCTCAATGTACTGCTTTGGCTAACAGCCTGTCAAATCTACAGAGCTATATAGCCTCTATGCCTAATTGTTTTTGTATACCACCCACAAATTGACTGCCTTGGTTCAGTCTTACTGCTCTCATCAACAGCATTTTCTGTGAGAAAGCTCTGATAAACCCACTGTACGCAACCTGCAGCACAAAACAGCAGGCAGACAATGTTAGCGACTAGCTGGTGAACATGGAGCATTTAACAGCTAAAGCACCTACAGACCCCAACTAATTTACGGGGGTCTGCAGTAAGTCATACAAACATCTTTGTTGTGCAGTATAATACAACGGCGGAACATGGCCCCCCATGTTCATGTTCCATGTTCAACTCTGTTTATGTGATGGCTCTTCTAGAGTGGTTGAGGTGTAGCTAAAATTTCTGCAGTGTGGAAATATTTGAAATTGGAAAACAAAAGAAGTCCAACAGCCACTTGCAATGCAAGAATTTCGCAAGGCGGTAGTAATTTCAAAAATATTCGCCTTAAGTGAAAAATCCGCCTGTATCTCACAGTGTAGCGGAGCAGGCAGAGCTGAGGGACAGAGCCGCTGCCAGCAGGAGTAGCTCAGTTCATATCTTTCATTAAATTTACTTTTTAGGTAAAATCGTTGGGATTAAAAGGTGGAATTATCTTCCCTCACGCTTTTCAGTTCATATGTTAAACTAATAGGCATCATTATGTAGTTATTTCAGCAAAATGTTTATTTTGCATTCATACCTCTGTAGTAAACCAGATTATTAGGGTTGTGTTTACCACGTAAAAGAGCTGCGTTCAATACTACCAATTTGATACACCCAACGGAATATAGTGCGTTCATTCAGGTAAGTCAGGCAAAGGCTGCACACCAAAGCAACACACATTGGAAGTTACTTTACTCAATAGTAAAACTGCCTATGGCAGCATCTAATCCAGGAGGCAGAGGCAGCAAAGCCAACGCAGTCCTGTGTTATGTCCCAAGGTCTAGGGGTGTCCTGGACGCAACAAAAGTGTAGCTTCCCACTGTTCCCATTCCCAAACAAGGCCAGAACACAGGAAATACAATTTAGCAGTATTATTGGCTTCAGAGATGAGCAGTGCCCAAAACAACCACCAAAACAAATAAACCTAAACTTTCCTAAACCAAAAACAGAAAGTAAATAAAAGACAAAGCTCTAAACTAGGCTTCTAATCTCAAAAACAGGAGAAAATAGGGTGCAAACAAAAAGGGCTTATAACAAAATATATACAACATAATGGCTAAAGCCAACAACAAAAAAGGTTGTCAACAACAATCAGAATTACGAAGCTAAGCTACACAGATTCATTTACAAGGTCTTCTCTAATCACAGCAGTTTCCTACTCACAACTAACAGGTATAACACACAGTACACAGGCTCAGGTTGGGAATGGCAGAGAGAGAGAGGAGTTCCTGTCTGTGGGGCTTAAGATGGCTGCTGTCATCCAGGTGACCAATCAGGAGACTCCAATCAGCTCAGCAGGACCAATCCAGTGTGTCCACCTGTTCTCCATTACCTGCATACACAAACACACACACTCTAAGGGAGGAGAGACAGCTGACATTGCAGGGGGAGATAAAAACAAACAAAATATGACCCCAGGGTCATAACACCTGGAATTAATAAGCAGCCATGTTGAGTTAGAAGGTCAGATCGTATCTCCCCAGGCTACATCCACTATGCTTTCGTTTTAAAACGTAGACCTTTTGCTGTTTTGACCTGCCTCCAGACTAAAATGGTGAATCCCAACACCTAAAACAGAGAAGTCTGAAAACACTGCTAACCCCGTATTTTTTTTGGGTGGGGGGGGGGGGGGGGTTGTTTTTTTTTTAAACGGGGTAGCGAGGAAAAATGGAGGACTTTAAAAACAGGACTGATAAAAACGAAGACACTCACGTTTGGCTTCCTGATTGGGTCTTATAAGTCATGCAAAGCTTATCACAATGCTATTGACTTTAATAACTTTAATACTTATAAAAGTACTGCTCAAATTTAATTTTAAATTTAAATCTCTTCATGGCTAAGTGAGAAGATATATAATTTTGTAATTTGGGGGAACAGACCTTTTAAAATAATCAGGTTAGGCTGGAAAGAAACTTTGTGTGAAAATTCCGAGGAATTCAGATAAAAACTGGCTTAGAAAACATCAAAGTGTGTTCATTAAGCCAGTTTCTATCTGACTTCCTCACATTACAATAAGGGGTATGACTTGTAAACTTCCTGGACATTTTCTGTTTGAACAGTTGTGTAATGTAATCATTTATCAAGCAGATTAGACTGATAACGTATTGCCAGAGACAAAAAGCAGTTTCATACTGTGTGTTGCTCTCTACTTGCCCCAATAATGATAAACAGGGTAAAGGCAATTAAATACAGTGTGGGTATATGAATTTGAAAGGTAACCTAATACAACTCTTGATCCTTCACCTATATTTTTTAGTGTGCCAAATATTTAAAATGATATGAATATTAAAGAAGAAGATAGGAAAATGTGTGTTCATGCAAATATGCCATGGGTCTTATTGCTACAATTCAAACCTAAAAATTACATTTATACACTACTAAACAGCAAATACATTTAGTAAGAAAGGAATGCTGGCCAGATTATGCTTTTAGCAATGACTTTATTCTCATGGCAGAGGCTGTGAAGAGAACGAAGACAACGTTGTAGGATTGGTTGCGTGATTTGCCTGTGTTAGCAAAGTTGTCGAACTTGAGCAAAAGAGGTTTCAAGGACAGAGATTCAGCAGCTTGTTCTAAATCTTGAGTTGATGTTAGCAAACTTAATGTTAGTAGATAACATATTCAGACATTGGTAATGTTATCGTAAGTGCTCTTGTGTTGGTTGCTGTCTAGCTTTGTTTGAGCAACATTATGCAGGTGCTGGTGGAGAGCAGGCAACATAACCAGATTTAGTAGCCTCTATGGTAGAGGTGAAGAGACCGAAAAGAGGATGTTGACGGAGTAAGAAGATAAAATAGAGAGTTTTGTAAAATAAAAGGCTGCGAGACAGACAACATGCTGTCTCTTTCTGTGTGCACAGTCCGACTAGTCAGTAATATTGCTAGGTCTGGTGTTGTTGCACTTGCTTGATGTTTGGCTCCGTTAGCAACATTTGCAGCTTGCTACTTTTTGATTGTATTGTAATCTTGACAAATGCAGTGTGGATCCATTTCTATTTATGACAGTGGTGAATTACAATCTGAAATGATAGGGGCCCCAAATTGCACCAAACCTTATATAATGTTGCCTTACACATGATGAACGATTTCCAGTCTCATCCTCACAGTGAGGAACGCAGCTTAGTCATATTACATTGGTATCAGATTGTACTCGGTATCAGCAAGTACCCAAAGCCCAGGAATCAGTATTGGTATCTGACATGAAAAAGTGGTACCATCCCCATACATAACTGCTTTACTTCTTGTGAGCTGAAACACAGTCCAAAGTAAAGCTTTAGGGTGAACAACTTATCAGCTAATAAGTCTTATGTTTGTGTTTGATTTAGACCTCAACTTGCTGAAAACCATCAGCAACTGTAGACGATCGCTGTAGGATGGTTGGAAGGAATCTGTCGTTTACTGGAGAAGTGTTTACCTGAACCTGTTTGACTTCACCTCAACATGTCTTCACTCATTTGTTTAGTGTGGTTATATGAGCATACAAAAAGGAACTTCCAAGGAACCAGGAAAACATTTACAAATTATCACATGCTTTATGACGTAATAGATGAAAAGAAACCATTTTTTTCCTGCCGCATATACCCTAATGTATCTGGAGAATCACTGATTAGAGAAACTAAAATGTCAAAAACTCATACTAATCACTGAATTTAAATCTGCACGTGGAGAATGTGGCATATCTTGCAAACAGCAACACTGTAAACTATGATCAATTTTCAAAAAGGATAAGTGCAGTGAAATAATTACAGACAAGAGCTGGGTGTCTGTCTCCTCCTACATATGGATGAGGAGGGAGAGGTCTGGCTCATGGATATAAATACTAGCTTCAGACAGCAACAGGAACTGTCTCTTTACAGGACATTCCTCCAGACCTTAGGAAAGCAGCCTGAACCAGGTAAGTGCTGGAGATTACTGCAGTCACAGGAGGGAATTTGTGTTTACTGCTGCTAGATAAGCTCTCAACTGTATGACATGACTCCTTTCATCAGCACCACTAAGCTTGAGCACCTTGCTAATGCTTAATGCTCTAAGTGTTTTTATTTTTAGCTGATTTTATACTGTAGCACTTTGGGATTTGTTTAATATAAGTACATTACAAATAAAATGTATTATTTTTTAACAGAATATTTAATCATTTATTGTTTTTTTCCAATTTGTTTGAGTATGTTTTTTTTATTATTCAATCCTGTTCTTATCTGTTTTCAGCCTTCATAACCACAGACACAATGGCAGGTTAGTGTGTTGTCTGCTCAGGGATTCTTTTGCACAGCAAGAACACAAAAGGCATCATCATTCAGAGGATTGGTATTATCACAGGGCATGATTTATTCTGTCTACATCCACATTGTTTGAACATGTCAGCTCCAGTATTTGCTGTAATGTTTCCTCTAAGCACTGAAAGTTCATCAATTGATAATGTCTTTTTATCTACAGATGCAAGCTTTCAGCAGAAGTTCCTGGAAGCCCATAATGCCTACAGAGCGAAGCACAACACACCACCGTTGACTCTTAGCAGTGAGTTGACAGCTTCAGCTCAGAAATGGGCCGATCACCTGCTGTCAATCAAAACCCTGCAGCACAGTGACACTAAGGACGGAGAGAACGTCTACGCTAAGTCCAGCTCAGCAACCATTAACCCAACAGGTGGATTGCTGCTATCCCCTTTCAATTCCATCCTTTTATCAAATTCTTCTTTTTATCATCTGCCTCGTCATTTTATCATCTGCCTCGTCATTCAATCAGACTTTGCATTCGGTTCTTTATTTCATTCTAATTTCTGCTAAACCTTTACCATCACGTCATCCTTTTAATCGATCATGAACATGATCGATAAATATGAGACTGTGTCGTTTTTAAAAGAAGAAATGCTACTGTTCTTTGTTTATAGATTAAAAGTTCAATTACTAAGCAATAAGATTTGTTCTGGTGTGACCAATAGCTTAAATGGTGGCTAAAGTTAGCTAACTGGGTGGTGATGGAGCAGTGGATAAGACATATGCTTTTGGTGAGAGAGACCCAGCAAAGTGTGACCTGTCATTGATTAATCTGTTCCGCCACAGTTTCATAGGCTAATGAAATGAAAACATTCTCAAAACTTCTCAATATAACATAAAAGGTCTCTAGCGTTGTTTTGCACCATTGCTTTGGCAAAGTACCTTATCAAATCGCAAAACACTGTGATTTACTATAACAAGTAGGCCTGTAATAAATAATAAATAAGATATTTAATCAATATAAATATGTTATTTGTGGATGTTAAAAAAGCAACTAAGTTATTTGAGTTTACTTACTCAACACTTTTACTTGAAAAAGACTTAAATGAGAAACTTTTTAAATGTAAATGTCTGTATTTGTATAGTGCCGTTCTAGTCTTTTTTGCATTCACCATTCACTCACATTTATACACTGGCGGAACAGCCGCCAGGGGCAATTCGGGGTTCAGTATCTTGCCCAAGGACACTTTGACATGTAGCTTGGGGGATCTGGGATTGAACCACCAACCTTCCAATTAACAACCAACCCACTCCACCTCCTGAGCCACAGCCGTCCCGTTTTATGTTGAGTTGTTTTTTATACCGGTAATTTTACTTGTACTTACGTAAAAGTTCTTCAAAGTAACACTACTTTTACTTAAGAAGAATATTTTTGTACTCTTTCCACCTCTTGACATATTTACCATTGTACATCGCTTTGGGTAAAAGTGTCAGCTAAATTAGTAAATGTAAATGTAACATAGCAAACTGAAAGATATTCCTGACTCAGTTCTTGGAATTTTTCTGATTCTTCTGGCACTACACAATGTTATCCTCATTGTTGTTGGGGTTTTTTTATTATAAGACTCCCTTCTTTGCTACTATCAATTCAAATGTCAATATCATGTTATTTTAATGCATTTTTTTTTCTATTTCATGTTTTAGGGGCAGAAGCTGTAGATTCATGGTACAGTGAGATCAAGGATTACAACTTTGAGAAACCTGGATTCCTCAGTGGGACTGGTAAAACACAATCCACATGATAACCAAATAGCCATAGATTTGAAATGTGAAGATGAGTAAGAAGGTTTATAAGAATGAAAAAGTTACAAATTTATGTTGCTCTGTAAAAATGTATTTTTGGGGGAAGATAAAAATCAAAGATAAACTTTGATCAACCTTATGTTGCTGTTTATTTGAATTTAGTTTCATAAAGTTTTAGATTTAGGTATAAAATATTATGCATTTAAGGCAAGTTAGAAAATCAGGATCAGACTTTAACCTCACTACAGTGCTTTGTTTCTTCCTGCAGGTCATTTTACTCAGGTGGTTTGGAAAGACAGCACTGAACTGGGTGTGGGTATGGCCACTAATGGCAACATGATCTTTGTGGTTGGGCAGTACCGGCCAGCTGGCAACATGAACATGCCGGGATACTTTGAGAAAAACGTCCTCCCCTAGGTAACATTTTTGTACCACAATTTTGGATATTTTTTGTCTGAGAAGGTGATTGAGTACATTACCTCAAAAGGCTGCAGAAGTTAATTTTACGAGTTTGCAGATGCAAAGGAAAATTGTATTTTATTTAAATTTTGTGAATTTCATTGCCCAGACATGTAAATGTAGCATAATTGTGCATTCAAGTGATGTCAAGTTATGATTTTGTCAAATATTTTGCCAAATTTGGACTATGTCACACCAAAGAGTGGTGGAAGTATTAAAGTAAATTCACTCACACAAGTAAAGTTTTAATGAACTTGTAGATTACAGTCTTAAAAAACTTTTTATGTTGTTCAGTTAGCAAAACCATTTACCTAAATAACCAGTTTGTGTTAGTACCAAACTTTATACGCACCTGACTTCACCCTCTGGGGTGCATGCAGTGACCGCTGGGGAGAAACCTTTATGTCTTTTTTATTAAACCTGATTCTACAACAGTAAGCTAAATGTCTTCTGCAGATGCTGAATTCTCAGTAATCAGATTTTTCTTCTCATGCAACCACTACTCAGTCAGCTAGCTGGTGCAGGTTTTCAAATGTTTCCCGCAGCAACAGATTCTCTTGTTTTAGGTTTGTTATTTTAACACTTGCATGCCTCACCAGTATCTACTTTCACTTTCCAGCGTAAAGGCTGTGCATTTTACATGTGGCAGAGAGCTGGGTGGAGTGAGAAGAGGAATTCCTGCACACTGCTGTAAATAACCTGGACCATCCCTGCAACCCTCAACACACGACTGATTAATAGTCCATGTTGAGTCAGAATAATTTTAATTGTACTGAGGTTCAATATGAAGATTGTAAATCAATGTGGTTCTGGCTTTTCAGTTTATATATGTGTTACTGAATATAAAAGAAAATCTAACCCATAACATAAAGGACTCAATTGAAAATAATGATGAAATGTTGCTCTTAGAATTAAGAATAAATGCCTTGCATAAAAGATGTGGTCTCAGCTCACAAATAATTTCCTGATGTTGTAGGAGGAAGTGAATATAGCTTTCTTCAGAAGGCTGTGTTGAGTATGTGGTGCAGGTAAAGATGGAGGTGGTTCAGGGATGGTGGAACCCACTGACTCAACAAAACACCAGTTATTGAGAGGGAGCCCACCTGACGACCCTGTAGACGTGCCTGCACTCTTACACTCACATTCATATTCTAACTATGGTCTTTTGTCTTTGGTAAGGCAGGTCAAGGGTCATGCATAGAATAGTTTTCATACCAGAGAGGTTGCTCACATGAGATGTCCCAGCTGACATCGGTCGAAATCCTCGGGATCTCAGGAAAATCATCCCGTTATCACAGGAAAACAACATTTGTTTCTTTACCACAGGACAAATGTAGCAATGCAATGCTGATGATTTGAGGACATCACAACCTTCAGCCGAATTGTCATGGATGCAATTATGGCACTGACAGCTTCACACACTGTGACGTATTTCACTGACTTCCCAACAACACCCCCCGTAATCCAACAGAAACAAACACAATTCTTGAAAATAGACGGTTCCCAGGTGTAGGCCTAATAGGCGCAATTATTGGCAATCATATGACAATCAACTTTTTTTAATCTTTCATTTACAATGTGTATATCATAATGTATTGCCAAAATCCCCGTTGCAAGTGTCATGAGTCAGCTGTCAGCCTGACACGTAAGATTTAGTCCTACACTTCACTTAAATTAGGACTGGGATGCTTGATTACTAACTTTTAAGTGCAGCTTTAAGTCAAGAATGTTTTACTCTTAAGTCAATTCTTAGCAGGGTTCTTGTGAGTAATTCTGAGAAGCTTGATAAATACGGACCCATATCTTCTTATAACCCCCCTCCCACAGTCTTTGCATTCCACATGCAACATAACACTGGAAAAACAAAGTGATGGGTTTTACTAGTATATCTTGGTAGTTGAAAATAATTTTGGCCAGTCCTTTAAACACACAGAGCACCAGTGTAATTTTTTTATATACACCAATTCTACAATTCTTCCACATTAAATATACCATGCTTTCGCCAGTTTTGGTGTAAATACATCCATGAAAATTTTTTTTACATTAAGTAATTTATATATAAATTATAAACAATTTATATATAAATTATTTATGATTTTACTTCAGGTACAGCCATATATTTCAGAAGTGGCAGGTAAACAAAACAGGTTCATGCATGGTGACAAGATAATATCTTGTAGGAACAAGTTAGCACACAAGATAATTATGATCTTATGCGCACAAGTTCTCATCTTATTCCCACAAGATTATAAGTGCGCACAAGATAAAAAATATAATCTTATGGGACTTC